TATAGAGTCATACCCGACCCTTTTTGAGGGTACCTATTTTCTATATCACGGACCGTAATCATGCAGCTAGATACGCAAAGCAAAGGGTGGGGTATGACCTTCGAGGTATCTTGTACCGACAGGTGGCTGTGGCCTAAAACCAAAACAACAAAACTTACCGACCCTGACGAGCACTTCTCTTACACCGTATCTTACAACATGCTGGGCTCCATCTACTCAAATCTCCTTCCACGGGATATCTGAAATCATAGTCCTAACTGACTAGCAACCCCATATGCTAAGTTCAGATTCTGAGCTAAAAGGTATGAGGCCTATGGGGGGAGGAGGGGTTGGGTTCTGTGGTATGCCTTATCAACTGAGGGCTTCCTGTTCGATTTGGACTTGGGATTCCGAGACTAGCCTCCGGTACGGTGTGGCCGTTCTGAGAACAACCCCTGGTCAAGAAAGAGCCCTCCGCCGACATCTTCAGCTAGTACCTTACCTGTCTCAGGTTGGCAGAGACAGCGGTGCTGTGGAAAGTCCATATGCCACCAGGAGTGATGCACAAGCTTTCGTGGATGGGTCTTAGTCTAGACCTAAGAGTAACCTAGGCATAAAAAGGGTGCCCTTTTTGGTTTAAAGGGTGTTATAAGGGAACCTAAACCCTAAAAAAGGGAATAAGGGCCTACTCTGGGTCCTAGTAGTCTGAGGTTGGGCTTGAATGGCTGGAAGCTAAACGGTTTGAGTATTGAGGGGCTTACTAAAGGGTCGCGGGTTTCAGGTCAGGTCCTACTGCAGGAGCTAGAGCAAGACAGCGCTAGATCTTCGATTCAGTATACACCGACTATGTAGACAATCCCAAAGTCCGTGCAATTACCTAAAGGATCATGGGACTTAGTAATTGGGGTTATAAGTAAGGTAACTACAGTTATAATTGCTTATAACCCCAATTAGGGTACTTATAACCCTACTTACTAAGTCCCATGATCCTCCAAGTAGGGTTCAGGGTTATAGGGGCCCCGCAGTCTCACTCAGAATCTGATTACATAACAGGTGAGTGAGGACGGGAAATCGGCCCAACATTAGCTACATGAGCTAGTGTTGTAGTTACTACAATTCGAAGTGGGCTTGGGGCCTGGGGTGTTTATGTTAGAATTACACTTACATGTGCGGACGATAAAGGGGGGCAACATTACGAATCACCGGGATGGGGGGTGGTATTTTCTAATTCTTGAGACCCCTTTTTTGCGTGCTTGAAACGCCAGGCTCAAAGACCCGATGACTCGCAAAACCTGGTGCGCATCCCAGTGACCAGAACCTCTGAAGCAGTCAGGCTCCAGGAGCACAGCACGCATCGACCGGTAGAAATTAAGTACTGCCCCCTGCCCCCATACAATAACAGTCTACGATAACAGGGCTACTATTCAGGGCCTAGTATACTATATTATTATTATTGGGATTATTCCACTGGTACTGAATGGGGGCATCAACCGGGAGAAAAAATGTCCGGATCCGAGGCACCTGGTACTCGCCGCGAAGAACGCCGCTTGTTCAGACTTAATTGGGAGTTTCCGAAAAATTAGGGGTACCTTATTCTGGGGTTCTTAAACCAGGATCCTACTATTTAGGGCACTATATTAGGGTCCCCAATTTTCGGAAACTCCCAATTCTGAACCCTAATCTTAGACCCTAAACCAGATAGACTGTTGCAGCCAGGCATTGGAGGGTTTCAGAAAGCAATGGTTAGATGTCGACCTCAAGCGACATGCCAATTCCATGTTACATGCTTCGTGGGCAAGTCAGCTCCTTCCAGCTACTATGAAGGCCTTACTCATTTGAAAGGGCTTTGGGTATGTACTACAATAGGTATAATTAACAGGGGCATGTTGGAAACAAGAGTCTTTTAGCACATACACGGGTCCGAGAACAGCGGAGTTTCGCACCACTGGCTGAAGCTACTGGGCGCTTAACTACAGATTTAAGGCTGCCCTTACGCCTCACAAGCCCTAAACCCTAAACCCCTTACGCCTCACAAGCAGGTGTTTCACGCAGCCTTGAGACCGGTGACTCAAAAATGAGAGAAGAATCTTGCGCCGAGGCACCTACAAGGCCGGACCTGCAAACGATTGCAACTTGCAACCCTCCGCAAGCACCTTCGCATTGCTTCTTCACTATTCTTAGCTTCAATGTTCTCTTGCCGTAGCTTTACTCTTTACTAACTCTAACAGCTTATGTTACATTATCGGCTGAACACAGAATGCTCCAAAATACGACTGTGCCACAGCACCGTAGGAATTAGGTGAGGATTGGTACTGCAGGGTTTCGTACATTGGCACTAACGGTTGATCGGTCGTGGCTTTCGCTAGAAAAATCCTGCCATGTGGGTGGTTGTCAAAATTAGGGTCCCTTTTTGGGTGCCCTAAATATCAGGTGCCGTATTATAATCGGGACCAAAAAGGGATCATAGTTTTGACAACTACCAATGTGGATCATGCGAGGCTCTTGAACAACCCTGGTTTCTTCTGGGATTCGCAGTACAAGTTGAGCTGGGAGTCTCGTCTCGATCATAAAGCCTAGGCTTCGGAATTAGAATAGTTTGTTGGGCGCATTCTCCTATATTCAGAGTAGCACCCTGCGGTACCATTGAGGCTTCTATCTTAAGCTCGAAGAAGAATCAGTTCGGCCCTTGAACAACGGTGTCGGGCTTGGTGATGCCTAGGATGTATAAGCTCTGCAGCCTCTACGGTTGGGTTTAGTTTGGGCAGGGTGGACAAGCCCTACAGAAAGTAGGGTTTAAGGGGTTCGGTTTAGGGATGTTCAGGCGAGGGGCTTACAAACCCTAAACCCAACAGGGTGTAGGGTACCCACAGAAGCAAGGCTTCAGAACTTGCAAGCTGTGGTCGCTGTCACGTGTAGGCACAGACGAGAAATCACACATTGAGGCGGTGGTTTCAATTTGCTGGCAGATGGAACCCCCTCTCCTTTGCAAAAGTATCCGGTATTATGTCCTGGTCGAATGATCCTCTGCCATGAAGCATGGCATGCAGCCTCCCCAAACCTGAAGCCTAAGCCGCAAATAAAAATTAAATACATAGGCCGAGCCAGGAGATCTCTAACCTCGAGCCGCCCTACATTCCCAAAAGACACAACCGAACATTCAACTTTTCAGCTGTAGGTGGCGGATCCAAAATGGTGGCCAGCTTCAGGGATGCGAAAGTGAGTACACGATGCAGGGACCTTGCTAGCAAGACTAGGGTTGGTGTATAATCTATAGTAACGTTGACGTTTTTGATTATGAAGTACAGGGAACCCTGATTACTGACGCGAAATCTCGGAAGCAACGAAGCTGCCAGCCCAACATGGTGAACCACCGCATGCGGCACATTCGCACCTTCTCAGATGCGGAAAGAATTGACATTTTCCACCATCACAGGCGCAGCCGCTGTCGCCTTCAAACAGCAGAGCACTGGCCGAAGGCATGCCTACGTGAAGGATCATGGGACTTAGTAAGTGGGGTTAAAAGTAAGGTAACTACAAGTATAATTGCGTATAACCTCAATTAATAAGGTGCTTATAACCCTACTTATTAAGTCCCATGATCCTCCAAGTACGAGTCGACGAGGATTTGGGACCCGTTCACCTTAAAAACCAACTGCCTCACAAGCCAACAAAACCCTGTAACACGACCTTACACTTACTACCCCAATAAGCCACAGAAATAAAAGGTTAAACTTTCCGATTCCTATTACACTATAGGAACCCAAAAAGTTTAAAGGTTAGGTATTGGAGATCTAAGAATAAGACGTTAAACCCTTGCGACATTGTTCTACCACTACAACGGCTGCAAGTCACTTGTGTCCAGACCGGTCCAAGCCTCATCTGAGAAGTGCTCCTTCAGAGACAGATCCTTCGATGTGTCAGGGACTTGTTCGAGCTGCTTGCGATGATTGCTGTACGACTGTTCTATGAGATTTGCGCGTCTGGTTTTGTTCCCATAGCTGTTTACTTCTCAACTGGCTCAAAGCTGCAAAAGGAATCCCTAAACCCTAAACAGCCAGGCCATTCGGATGCGTTCCCCGACTTTTGCGGTAAAAAACGTAGGGTTTTCACATTGGGGCTAGGGGCTTGGCTAGCCCCAGAGGCTCCATGTACCTTTATAGTAGATACTTAAGCCTGAAAGGGGTCCCTATATAGGTACTTTAAAGCATAAGTATATACTACATGGGTACATGGAGCCTTTGGGTAGCTATGGCCGAGGTGAGCGCGATTCCGCCTCTGGGAGGGCATGGTCACAGGAATCTAAGCTAGGGGCCTTCAAAATTAGAGTAGGGTTTTGGGGCCCACTATAGTATACTTATGGAATAGGATTTTGGGGCCCATTATAGTCTACTTATAGAATAGGATTTTGGGGCCCATTATAGTCTACTTATAGAATAGGGTTTTGGGGCCCATTATAGTATACTTATAGAATAGGGTTTTGGGGCCAATTATAGTATACTTATAAACAGCAACCCCCAAAAAAATAGTATTGGTACTTATTGAGGCCCCTATATGGGAGTTTCCGAAAATAGGGGACCCTAATATAGTACCCTGAATAGTAGGACCCTTATTATAAGGAGTCCAAAATATAAGGTACCCCTAATTCTCGGAAACTCCCATAATAACACAGCCGGAGCAGGAGCCTTTAAAACCACTCCACCTGTAACCTTTAGGCTCCCTTGCAATACCGGGTGGAAACCGTAAATCTTCAAAACCCAAGCCTTAGAAGGGGCCCCCACCCTGTAATAGTGGTATAATAGGAATATAACAGGGCCCTAATATAATCCTTATAGCCACTCCTAAACAACTGGAGCTCCGTGAGCATGTCGAAGGAAGCAGAGGGCGAGATTCTGTGTGGGGGCTGGCTGATGGCTGCACGTAGGAGGATATGAGAGACTCGGATAGCTGCTGTCGGCAACTTTCGCTATCATCTCTTCTAGGCCTGAAAGCTCGAAGGGTTCCATTGCTGGGGTCATTGCTACTTAGGCCGACAATGCAGACCTGTCTTCACTTCTGACCCTCCCGTGCGGCCAAGTCACTGACTGGTTTTCAGAAATGTTTGAGGACAAAAACGATGCGCTCTTCAAGAAGTGTTTCGCATTGGTCGGGCTGATATTCCTCCTCCTGACGGGTCTCTTGTATATGCTTCTACGAGCATGACAGTCTGCTATGATGATGGCGCTGAGCGGGGCTTGTGCTTGCAATTGCTGTTGCTGCTGTTGTAAACATTCACTGCCTTTGCTGCAAAGATTGTGCCTCGCATGTTCAGTGACGGCATTACCACTGGATGATCCCATTCTGTTGTTGATAAAACAAATTATTTGTGGACCGCGGTGTTGCGATACAGTTTAGTATGTAGCAGGGCTTCTCCACCTACAAAGGCTTCGCCTGGGGATCCCGCCTTGGCTAGAAAGTGACTGGGCTACTCACTAAAATCCTATACCCTATACCCAAGACCCTAAACCCTGCACCCTGAACCCTTAACCCTGAAACCCCCAGACTGTAAATCCTAAACCCTTATCGGGGAGTGGAGATTCCTCGTTGAAGAAACGATGCATCACAGGGAATGACTCAGGCTTCTGCAGCCTCCTTACTGGGTGCTTTGGGATGTTTAATACCATAAAACGGAGACCACTTTAATTACGATATCTCCCTACTATGGCGACTTGAATTAGGCTCCTTCAAAAAACCCACTTAGTGGCAAAGTACTGGCTTGAAACACATCGGTAATTGGTGATGATTGTTCGGGCTTTACGAGTTTGACGGTGTACCTACAGGGTCAAACCCCACTCCGGCTTAGGAGTACCTAGAACGTTTCTATGCATCAGAGTCTAACCATCAAACTAGTTACCCAGAAAAGGGGTCTGGTTCGACGCTCTAGGTAGGGTTGAAGCGGGCGAAAGCGTACCCAGGAAGTCCCACAAACCCCGAACGATAGCACCACGAGCTCCTGGAAGCATGGCTGTTCTCGACGAGGGACCTTCGCCAGAATCAGCGTCTGTTTTAGTAGTGCAGGGGCCTTCACAATAGAATAGGGACTTGGTGGTATCTTACGAACGTAGCATGCATGCAATAAGGAGCCGTATGCAATATCGCTACTATGTATTCCAAGCTCTTTGTTATGTAACAAGTGTTGGGCCCAATATTCCGAAGCTATGGGCATTCATGGGTCGAAGATGCGAGGTACAGCGATGCTCGTACTCGTACTCTCCCATACAGGCACACCTTGCAGCGGTTCGAATTTCTCATAATTCGAGTAGAACCTTCCGCGTTAGCCCGAAAACCACACCCTCCTTAGCCTGCTCGAAACTCAAGAACATGTGCTCATTATTTACTCCTGTATGAATGGACAACGCCACTCCAAGCCCTCGACCATCACGACGGTTCACTTCACAGGCGACCACTCCCTGTGTCCGACTTGAATGTGGGTAGTTGTCCAACTTATGGTCAATTTTTGGGTACCCGAAATAGTAAGTGCCGTATTATAATAAGGACCCCAAAAGGAACCCCAATATTGGCAACCACCCATGTGGGAGGAGACAGACCGGAGACAAAGCGGATCTCCGCATTGCCGTGGTGGTGATCACCACTGGAGTGTCACTTTGCCTAAACCCTATAGATCCCTTTTAGAACCTTAAAGGAACCCTAGGTATTCCTTTATTAAGGGGTTATATTCCTTCATTGGCTTGGCTCAGGTACCAGACAATCCCTTCTCCAGTTGCGGCTTGCCCCTGAGTTCCACTTCACCCGCGAGGAGCACAGCCAGCATCTCTTCAAGCTGCGAACCAAACGCTCCAGCGACGGTATACCCTGAACTCTAACTCTCAAGCCCCATAAAGCCTATATGAGATCTATAATCCCGATAAGCCCTATACGAAACTTATATAAGCCCTCCGCCATTGTGTTGAGGATCTTGGAGAGCTGGGCTGGTAGTTGACCAGGATCCAGCAAGGAAGTGTAGGGGCGTGGGTTTAGGGTTTAGGGTTTAGGGCTTGTCGCTACTTGAAACAGTGAAGTGTGCATGTTCTACGGTTAGCAACCGACAATTTAACACTGTAGTTCTGCAGGGACTGTAGACCCCGGGTTAGTATACCCTGTTGCTCGAGGGCCTTCACATTCGGATCCCTGTTAGAACCCATAATGAGGGATGGGAGGTTTATTGCTCCGGCTACATTACCAGTAAAGCAGTAAAGCTTGCTCTTGCCCCGAGTGATTGAAGTCTGCTTCAAGGTCCCTTAAACCCACAACCCTGAACCCTCACAGTTTAAACCCCAAACCCTGGCAGAAAGTCAGGATTTGGGGGTGATTCGACGGAACCCCTGCGAGACAGAATTAGTGGCCATCTTTTTTGCTGCTTATGGTTTTTAGTTTAGTTTAGTATCTAGACTTTAGGGATAAACCCTAAACCTTAACCAACCCCCTAAACAACTCGCTGTCTGCAAGAACTTGCTGTTGCTACACTCGGGTTCGTATAATTACTGTTCATTCGGTGGGAGCTCGTGGCTGGGGCAACAGAGCATCCTCCATCACAGGCTTTGCTGCAGGTGCTCATGTGCCCATGTGCTATCTAAAACATACGTTCAACCCGTAAGCCCCAAAACCAGAATCCCGAAATCCACAAGTTTACAGCATTGTTTACCAGAACGCCGGAAGAACCTCGAGTACCAACCAGCAAGTTCAAAAGTCCTACGACTGCCCGAGATCCTGCCGTCTTATAGACTCTGAGAAGTAGGATCCGTATTTTGGTGGGGACCTACTACGGCCCTTTATAGTATAGTACCCTTATAGCACCCTTGTAGATCCCTTACCTTATATATAGTCTATAACATAAGGGATCTCTAAGGGCACTATCAGGATACTATCTGAATCATACTTGCTAGACCTGTCAGACAAGTCGCACGAAGCCCTGCGCACGAGTGGAGAGCTCTTTCTGCCTCTCATTGCTCACGCCAAGATCGGTCACCTCATCCCGGTTCGGAAATCGGGCTCGAAGTGTAGGTTAGGCTTTAAGGTTTAAGGTTTAGGATTTAGGGTTTAGGGTTTAGGGATTTAGGGTTTTGGGGTTATAGTTATAGTTGAAGGATCATGGGACTTAGTAATTGGGGCTATAAGCAAAGTAACTACACTTATGACTTATAACCCCAATTAAGGTACTTATAACCCTACTTACAAGGTCCCATGATCCTCCAAGTAAGTTGAAGGCATTCATTGTTAGGAGTAGGGCCGGGAGTCTGTAACAATCGTCGTGGTAATAATGGTAAAACGTACTAGTAGAAGTAGTAGCAGAGGTGTCCGAGCACTGTAGTGAAACTCGACAGGAGGCTGCTCGTAGCAACAATAGCTCCAACACCCGAAACTGTAGGGTCGCGGTCTTGAGATTGTCTCACAAATCAGACAGGTTGCCACCAGACCCTCGTCGTGCATGGCTTCAAGTTGGCCGATGAGCAAAACGCCGAAGATGTGCAGGAACCTTCAATTAAGCGGTATTAGGCCCTACAGCTGTATACCCTGAGCCGTAATCGCTAATGACCCCCGACACAGCCCAAACATCAGATCGCACACCTCCGGACCATAGAGGCCCTCAAACCCTGAAACCTCCAAGCCTGATCATCTGACGCGAAACCCAAAGCCACATCCTATCCACAGACTCGCCCTAGCGGCCGTAGCGGACTCTTGGAAATCAAAAGGGGCTACAACATCCTCAAGGGTCCCATGTACACTTGCAAAAGATTGATACATACATACATACATACATAATGTCGTAATTACATACATACACTCTCGTTACTCTATTTGCATTACACTGCACGACATTACAGTACATTACATCACATTAAATTCATGCATGCGTGTGTGTGTGAATGTGTATATTTAGCTACTAATCACAGCTCCATTTACACAGGTGTTTATCCGTTTAGACATTGGCCTGAGCCAGGGCCCCTATACATCAGCACCATGAGGGCCAGTTCATGATCCGTACAGTACAGAGGTGGCTTTCATCGAACACTGCGTGGGGTGTTCAGGGCGGAAGGTACTGAGGCGTCGAGGAGACGTCCAGAAAATCCTAGACGGAGTTGTCGCCTCCGAGCTTGTGTGGTTTGGGGAGCTGTCGGGAGTCATACTATAGAGATCAATGTAACAAGAACGGGGCCCTGCGGGGCATATTATGCTACAATTGGAGGGACTATGAGGAGATACTATCACTTCCTGCATCCCGCACCGGAAGAGTGGGCCGTTGTACTTGTGGGCACAATGGCCGAAGGCATCGCAATCGATGGAGACAAAATAGCCTAAGTTGGCTTAAGTGCCATGGTTCTCTAAACCCCAACCCCGGTCCTGGAGGGGCGAGGCTATTCTCTAAGTACGGCTCCATTCAATAGAGGGGCCTCAAGAATTAGAATAGGGTTTTGGGCCATGTCTTACTATATTCCCCGCAAAACAGTAAAGGGAATCAATCAGGCCCCTATATTACTAAAGCAGATCCTTCTGTGCAGTGGCTCCGAACAGAAGCCCCCAATGCCCTGAAGCTATCATCCGAGTCACGCAGTGTCCAAAGTTCTAAGTTTTTTGTTTGGGTGTTTTGGGCTCTTGGATCCTTGGGCTTTTGCGGCTCTTGAAAGTGCTGATGAGAACCTGAATCACGAACGGCGATGGCACACAATAATGCGGCGCTGTGGTTGGGCTCTACAGGGTGTAATTAGCCATGTACCCAGTCGAAGCCGAAACCCCAAGCCCTGAGAGTCAAGTGGACGCGATCACAGCTCTATGTCCTGAACACCCCACAACCCACCCTCAGAAAAGAGAAAGCAGAGAACCCCTAAACCACTGCATCTAAAGGTTTCAGGGCCTTACACTAAACGGCTTCGGGCTTCGGCTTATGGTTTCCCTTAGCCCGAAGAACCCTACATTTTCAAGGACTTATATAAAAAAATCATAATGAGGAACCCCAAAAAGGTAGGTTATTCCGGGTTAAGGTCAGGTTTAAGGGACAACTTTTTACATTCAGGGTGGATCATGCTCGGACCTTTCTAGGGCGATTCGTTTCTCCGGAGACCCGAGCCACCTGCATCCCAAACCCTCAAGGGGACCAAATATATGAGCCTTGGAGCTCTTGTTAGGGTTTAGGGTTTAGGGTTTAGGGGTTTAGGGTTTAGGGTTTAGGGTTTAGGGTTTAGGGGTTTAGGGTTTATAGGGGTTTAGGGTTTAGGGTCTGGGGTATAGGTTTTTCTTCGAGAGCCTCTTTCTATGGCTCAGGGTTTAGCTAGACCTCGCTTATTGATCAAAATGGGAGGGCCTTCAAACCCGGAGTTGCTGAAATTAGGTACGGGCACAGTTTCGCGGATGAATTTGGATTGAGCTTAGGAAGGACCGGAATGTTTCCCACCGGGGGCAGCTGCGCCAGGGGTAAACAAAAAACACTGAGGGTTTAGTATCGAGGAAGAAGGCCAAGGCCTAAGATGTGGTTGAGAGTCGAGGGCTGGAGGTGACTGGACTCAAAAAAGGAGTTTATAAGCATCTCGTGGCCCTCCCGACTGTAGAAGGCAAGGGACACATGCCCCAGATTGCACTCAACTTGCCGCGATGGTGCCAATCCTGCATGCTCCAACTTAAGTTGCATCGCTTTTCATAGTCGTAGAAGGTTTGACCCGTTGCGGGGCTTCGCACGGTTTGAGGAAGCGTAGCAGTACGCAGCAGTGTAGGGTCCCTGCATCGGTTTTGTCGCTTGCTTTAGAGATCTATCTCACTATGTATCGATATATCTATTATTGAAACCGGCAGCCATCTACCCATCTGCCTAGCTACCTGCCTAGCTAGATAGCTAGCTCCTTCCCGGTGTACACACGTGTACATACGTATGTGTATACTGTATACACGTGACACGTGTAATGTATGACGAAATCTGGTTCAAAACCTGCCACTTCTGAATTCCTGGTCGCGGTGAATATACTCAAGATACTTGGTCTATAATATAGTGGGACCGTTATCTCATGAAACTCGCGCTTCACTCTGGAGAATATGCAGCCTGAAAATGCGAAACTGTAGCATGGCCGCGAAATTCCAGAATAGCCTGCAGACTTGAGACAATTTTCAAGACCGGCGTACCTTTGTGGAAAAATGATACAAACGCTTATTCTGCATTGGCCTCTTGGCTACGTAGCAGCCCAAACATACCCGAACCATGATGAAAGCAAACTACTTATACACCTCAACCCTAACAACCACACCAAATTCACTACGCCCTATACAAGCACAAGCCGTCAGTATTGTTGTGCCAAGGTTCTGCCCAGAGAGCCACGAGGCTGATGTGCTGATGCCTCGTCACAGACTCCTTGGTCAGTAGACACCCACCCAGAGCGCAGCAACGAAGAACGGTCAGGGCATGAGAGTTCAGGGTTCGTGGTTCCCACCTCAAACTCTCTCTAACAAGCTAGATAGCTTCAACAGCCCTGGTTGGAAATTCTCCGTGGTGAAAACAAAAACCTGTCACATGTACCTTAGGTCCCGCTTGGGAGGACAGCTGGCTATTGGCATCTGCCGAAGGAAGCCCCCCGTTTTTTACCCAACACGTGGCCAACAGCCTTTGCTTCACGCCGGAGTACTATGTACTGCTGCTGCTTCCACTTTTCAGGTTGTCGCTTGCGCTGCCGTTGGCGGTGATGTTCCTGTTGCTGCTTTTTCTGCGCCGGCTGCACAGCTGCGACCCAAGTTGTTACCTCGTCAGTTCCGGATATTGTTCTTGCTACGACAATATCTCTAGGTCTAATTAGTCGCCACCAGCCTCTCATACAGTTTGATTCGACGGCACATCAGACTGAGTTGTCCATCCTTCCTGCCTGTCTGAAACAGTGTAGAGACTCCAAGCCTCCATGGAGGGTTGAATGTCAATCATTCACAGAGTGTCTGGTATGGGCTTCGGGGTGTAATTAGAGAACATGTGCACAACAAGGCCTATATCATGACACGAAGTTCGAGACCCTGAATCATGTCTCAAACATCCTAAACCCAGGCAAATTACCAATTGCGGCCTGGAGCACCTATAACTTGCCCCTGACACGTTGCGTTGCAGCCGGGATGCTGCGGAGTTTCTCGCCATACCTCGGCAGAAGATTCGTGAAAACGCCCTTGTGTCACAATCCAAGCATGTAGTGTTATGCCAAGGTTTCCTGAAGATTTATGTGCATTCGCAATGGCTACACATGACCACGAAGCTAGACGGAGATAAGCCTGACAAATTCTGATAGCACATGCAGTCCACTCCTCTCCAGAACGAACAGCACTGCCAAGGTACCACTTCAGCAGCTGCTTGTGCTGCTCCTACCACTACCAGGAAAACGACGGGACACTAACCAACCACGGTGATGATTTACGACGACGGTAATCACGACGACTAGCAGTTAAATCGGGCGTCTACCACCACGACCGCTTCCACAATAACTGATATGTGGGCCTTAATAATTAGAATGGGGTTTTGGCGCCCATTCTGCTATAATTTGTAATAAGGAGCCCCCAAAAGACTATAGGAAGTTATTATAGGGCCACCGATAATACCAGGTGACAAGTGCGCCTTTCAACCCTTCATGCCGACTTCCCCAGTGCCCCACTTGTTTATAAGCCACACCCTTAACCTAAACACCGGATGCTCGACCCCAAACCCAAAACCCCAAAACCCTAAACCCCTAAACCCGAAACCCCTAAACCCGAAACTCTAAACCCTAACTCTAAACCCTAAACCCTAAAACCCTCGAGGCTGAGCCAGGATGCTAGTTGTTGAAGTTCCCATTGAGGAGGCCAAACGGGCTGGCGTGTATCCGAGAGCTCCAGACTCAATGATATGGGCCTCTGCTCGAACGGAGTGGCACCGAGGCGTAGCCACAGTTTAGGGTTTAGGGTTCGGGTTTAGGGTAAAACAGGAGCTGTCTAAATTGTGTCTGAATTTCTACGACGATTACTACTAACTCCGTAGATCTTTAGACGCCCACACTAGACCCCTAAACGCTAACCCGTCAAATAAAGGGGCCGCAACGATTAGAATGTGATTTTTGAGGTTCTACTAGAACTATACTAAGGAACCCTAAGAACCAATAGTGTAGGTGTACTTGCTTGACATTGACTATTAATCAGTCAGGCTTCTACATTGGAACCTCGAAGCTCGATCTGAGAAAGGCTTGAAACATGAACACCTCCAGTCCCGGGAAATACACACCTGCTTTACAATGTGGGGTTTAGGGTCTAGGGTGTTGTAGAGTTCTTAGGAGTTTGAAGTCTTTGCAGCTTTCTGTAGGGTTTTACAAGGGTCTGCAGGTTTTGTAGGGCTTGGAGAGTTTCGGATTGGGATCCAGGGCACAGAACGTGTAGGACACCTGAACTACATTGGCTTCGGGCTTAGATGGTACACTCGCTGCAGATTGATCCTTAACACTCCTGGGCTTTCTGGCTTATTCAATCAGGACGGGGCTTCGAGATTTCGCCGTATACCTGTATAGTGTAAGTGTATATAATAAAGGAACGACCTTATCGGACCCTTAACCCACAAATCAAAAGAACGAAACTTTCATGGGCCTGCTACAGCTTGAACACAGAACCTGCGCACTCGTGGTGCTGCATTCTCAGTCGCTGCTTTCTAGGGTTTTACAATGCTTTTCGACTGTGTTGGAGGGCTTTACCCATGGTTCTACCAGGTTTTAGATTCGGCAGTTACGCTTCAGGTTTACCGTTCAGGTGTACATCAGAGGTTCATGGGACAAGAGTTCCATGGCTTTGTGGGTTAATGGATGCTCCCGGGGTCAGCTGAACAATTGTCTAGGCCCGGCTAAGTGCCTGGCCTTGACTTAGCCCAAGCAACCTACTCTAAACCCTGAACCCTATTAACACACTCAGCCGTATCAGCAAAAATCCCTGAAGAACACCCAGCACCATGGTCTCCCGAAGAGCATGATTACAGCTGGTACCCGGCAAGAAGATTTCCTCACACAGCCATCGAGCTGACTTTCATGTGTACGGTTCGGAGAATCGGAGCCAGCTCCCTCTTCGCTGTGTTTATGTGGCTTTTTGGTTTGCTTCGGTTTGAGGTTTAGGGAGTTTAGGGCTTAAGCTTCATGGTGTTGGTTTTTGTTTCGGACTCTTTTCCGTCTGCACCTACATTGGAAATCCACGCGGTCGAGGGAGCCAGTGGTTCGAGGCCTCTTGAGTCTCAGGGTCTGGTGCTTGGGGATTTAGGGTTGATTTTTTTCGGTGCTTGGGGTCTGTATTATAGGGGCCTTAGTAATTTGCATACGGTGCTTTCTTCGGGGGTGGTATACTATGCTACAACACTGAATTAGGGAGCCCCAAAATAGTACTGGTAATGATGTAGGCCCCTATGTCTTCGGGTTTAGAGGTCGACTGGTCTGATGCTAGCTTGAAGGGCTTGTTAGCGGTGTTGGGTTTAGTGCTTTCTTGGGGGGTTTAGGGTTTGGGGGTTTAGGCTAGCTCGAAGGGCTTTGGGAAGGCTATTTGAAGATTCGAGTTGCTGAAAGTCTGATGATAGCAGGAGTCGCAGGAAAGGAGCTTCTGAGTTATCAGGACTACATGTTCGGGGCTCCCATCGCCCGGAGTTGCCGTATGGGATTTAGGGTGTATAGGGACCTATTCCCATATCCTGTATATTGGGATTGAGGACTTAGGATGTAGGGATCTGGGTGAAATCCATCCTGAAGCCTCAACCCGCCGTCGAGGAACTCTATGTCTTCAACCGGACCTCGGTGAATTTCAGCCATGGTTCAGGAATCGTCTTCAACTCACTATGTGTGTTGCCATCAACACCTCTAATGATAATGATCATCATCATCGTTGTGATCACCAGAACCCAGGGGGCTAATTAGAGCGAGATTTACGTTTAGAGTGTGGTGTTGGGCCACAGTGTAGCAGCTGCTTCAGTATTTCAAAGGATATCACGCTTACAAATTTGTCGGGCCTCTATCCTCTCACGCTACCTCGATAAAGTTTGCAGGTGTCCTCTCCCGGGGCAGCAGCCACTTCTACCACAGCCTTCCAGTCGGCAGCCGCAAAAGTGATTCTGGATCTCTGAAACACGGTTTTGAAATTGGGATTGAGGATCTCACTAAATAGAGAATGGAAAAGATTTCAACTTTCCGGTGCGGGAATCAGCAATATGCAAATGAACGAGTGCACCTACAGGATTTTTGGTTGGGTGTAGTTCCATCTCACGAACCCCCTTCCCTTGCAATTGCTCTGAACCCCAACACCCCTACCTAGAGTCTCCATTGTAGTTCCTTTTCTTGGTTAACCAGTTTTATGGGTAGGATCCTATAATAGAGATTTTGGTCAACCAGAAAAAGGAACTACAATGGAGACTACAGGTAAATTCCTAAACCCGAAACCTGCGGGCCTCGACTCACAACTCACGTCTAAAGCGCCCAGCCCCGTTGTGGGTTTCGGGATTACGTTGCGGTTTTCGGTGGTGTATGAGTATTGGGTTGAAGGGTTTTCGGGTTTCGGGTTGAGGGTTTAGCCTGGGAAGATTCCAGAGCTCTATCCCTGAGGCTCCATGTAGCCATATAGTATATACTTAGGCCCTAAAGGGGTTCCTAGATAGGTATTTTGAAGCCTAAGTGTATACCATATGGCTACATGGAGCCTTGGGGTGTGATGTGGTCACCGGACCGTTTATTTTTGATCGTGCAAAATATTGGCCTTCAGTCCAGGCTTTAGTAGAGTTCAGGGTGGAATCGGTAGCCAGCCACTGCAGGATCTACGGGTTTGGGGGAGAGTCTAAACGCAACTTCGACCCTACTGTACAAAACTAGGATCCTTATCCTAAACCCTAAGCCCTAGAGCCTAAACACCCTGATCAGAAGAAGCCAGACTGATCCCAACTTTTCAACTCCGCTCCTGGTGGCAGAGGGTCTGGAAAAATGCATAATCCTGCGAGGAACATGAACTGCGCTTGCAGCTTGAGAAGTGCTGAAAGAAGCCGTTGAAGGATATGTCAGGGTTTAGGAGTTGACGTCAGGAGACTGTTTGGAGGATGAGTCCGGGCAGTCCTCGCCGTAAGACCATCGAGGCCAGAATGGCAGTCTCGTCAACAAAGCCATGAACATCTCCTGTGGACCGTCGACATCTTGAGTCCAAACTTTCGGGTTCAGATGCAAGGTCAACGAGAAGTCTCTAATTATGCAGATGAGCAGGTGAAATTTTAGTTAGACTCTGTTGCATAGCCCTGGTGACAATCGAAATAGCCCAATCCATGTACATGCACCAGTTACAGACTGCACGTCTCGGGGCAGGCATCTTTTGCATACTCGGATTCTTGCAAAAGAACTACCAGCATCCCTACGTAGGCCCCTACATGATTCTACTGTAATATACCACCACCCCCTCCACCATCAAAAACACATACACACACACACACACACACTGGAGTGTTATAGATGAGACGACCGCAGGCCCTCGGCTCCTATGTTCGCCTAAGGCCGGGAGCTTTCTAACTTCGATGACAAGCAAGCCTCTCATGAGGAATCAAACCCAAAACAGGGTTTAGAAATAGCGATTAGGGCTGCGATTTGCGGCCTCCCGGCTGAGGGCTCAAACCTCAAACATCCTGCACTCAGCCCTCAACCCTAATCCCTGCGCTCTAAACCTGCGGGGAAGCCATCACCCCTACGCCCCCAGTATAAGGGTCTCAAGAGTTTGAACGGGCTGCGGGGGTCCAGTGGAGTATAAGTTGTATATCTATACAGCTTTAAAGAGCATTCAGGAATTTGAATCATTACTTGGAGGATCCTGAGACTTAGCAATCGGGGATATGATGAAGATAAGTACAGTTCTGAATACTTATAACCCCACTTATGGTGCTTATAACCTTACTTACTAAAGTCCCATGATCCTCCAAGTAGGGGTTGTGGGGTTCATGTTGATATAGGGGCTTTAATAATTAGAAAAGGGCGCTTATACTATACTTTGAATAAGGAGCCCCCCCAAAATAGTATAGGTAAGTATTTAGGCCCCCGCAGTACCAGTTATCCAGGCTGGGGAAGCTCTCGTCCTCATGCATGCGGAGCTTGAAGCGGTGGGGCAGCCGCTGCAACAAACTCACCTCTCGAGACTGGCGATCAGGATCCTACTTGTCGGGTATCATGGGGAACTAAAGGTCAACCTTTTTGGCTATATAGGGACTATACTACCCAAACCTTTTTGGTTATATAGGGACTATACTACCCAAACCTTGTTGGTTATATAGGGACTATACTACCCAAACCTTGTTGGTTATATAGGGACTATACTACCCAAAAAAGGTTAAAGGTTACCTACTCGACTACTAGGGCATGCTTAGGGGTGGTGGCTTCGAGGCTTAGGGCGTAAAGTTTAGGGTTTATAGTTTCCATTTTGGGGTTTAGACTTGCAGGCTCAAGCTTCAAAGTGTAGGGTCTAAAATTCCTGGGTCTAGGGATTTAGGGTTTAGGGTTTAGAAGACATTAGGATGAACATAGCGAACATCCTAGGACCAACGAAATCTCCACTAGCAGTTCCAGTCCCCAGACCAAGAATCCTGAAACCTTGGGTTTGCGCCCTTATTCCTAAACCCCCCCGCACTCCGGAAAACCTGAAGCCTAACTCCGAATTGCTATAGACCCAGTTTTTTCGATTCCTTAACTCCTGCAATATGTATGTATATGTATACATATATACATATATATATATATATATATATATACATAGATATAGACTGGACTTGTGCAGAAACCAACACCTTGACCGAAGGAGCCTAATGTTGCGACTTGGATCCAGGGTCAGGTTGTTGCTTCGGCTTCAAGGTCCGGCGAAGGATTCACCTCCCAAACCGTCGAGTCCAAAAAGCCGACAACGTAAAACCCTACACCCTAAACAGAAAACCTTAAACCTCTGGTTCCTAAGGTGTGAAATTTGGTTCTGAAAAACCCTTTAAGCCAAAGGCCCTACACCCTACACCCTACAGCTGATTCTGAAAGCCTTACTTCATGGAAACCAAAAGCCTCTGTCTCCTGGAGGCGGACTTCTACCTCACCTGCTCAGGTTTGGGCTTTAGGGTATACGTTTTTGGGATAAGAGTCTACGGTTTAGCCCATTACCACAGCACGTGTTTGGGCGACCTTGGTTTCTGATTTTGGGGTCCTAGCCAGAATGGGTTATCAAAAAAGGTACAGAGTTTTAGGATCTAGGTTTATGGGGAAAGGCAGGGCCGCCGGAATGTTCCGGGTTCCACTTTCAGTGCGAAGTGCAGGACTGTTTGGCGTACGCACAAGACGGGGTCGGCCAGGACATGGCTTGCTTGACTTTCGATGTCGCAACAGCCTGACTGACTAAGTGGGGAAACCTCACGCGGACTGTGCCTTCTTTGCCCAGGTGGGTTTCACTCGACCTGTGTTCTACGTACTACACGAAAGCTGGCAATGCCGAAAACGCTGCCGAAAAGGACAACGGGGGCCATCCGTTTCGTGCGGCTTTAGGCTTTCCGTTGTGTGAAAGGTTCGGGGTTTTTAGGGTGTTGATTTCTACGTCTCGGTTCAGTCTAGTAGTCCTGCTGCTGTCGCACAGTTGTACTTGCCATCTGTTGCTTCCTCAACCTTACTGATATTCCTAGAGCAGCTGTTAAGTGAGCATGCGCTTTCGCGGACTGTGCGTCAAGCATGTCTTACACGCAGTAGAGGTTGAAGAAGTTAAGAGATCTGATGTCTTCCGGGGATTGTATTAACCCTAAGTCCTCTCTGGCTTGTTCTGTCTGTGTTTAGCTATTCGAAGTCCCAGGTATGTACATCACCCTGTCAGTGTGTGTGTGTGTGTGTTATTACTATTATGATTATTACTACTATTATTATATGTTATATTTATTACTATTATCATTATTATGATGATATATATATATATATATATATATATATATACATACATATATATATATATATACAAGCGCATATAGAGAGAGATGCATGCACACGGTCACATAGACTTCAAGCGGCAACACGCCCATACATGCAGGTGGACGTAATCTGGAGGTACACGTGGACGGTCCGACTCTCCCACATAACTTGTCACAGGCCTGTTGCTGAACCGATGTAGGCTACAAGCGAGACAACGTAACATGGAGGCCTTCAGTCACATTGACCCTAATTAAGCTCTAAATTCCAAAAAGCCTTGGTTCACGGAGGTGAGTCTTGTGCATGCTGAGCTCAGACCCGACACACAGCACATAAATCCAAACCCAATGGCACCTCAAATCCTGAACTCTATCAGCCAAACCCCACCTGCCGAGTGCTAAAACGCCCAAATCGCAACACGAAGACATCGAGGCCTTTGCGAAGCGCCGACTGCACCTTGCCGTAGAGCTCCAACGACAAGTTTCCTCCGCAACGGATTTGTTCATGGTTCCCTAAGACTCCACATAGCCCAAAGTACGTAGTATTTATAGACTTTAGACCCCAAAGTAGGTACAATTTGTATACTTGGAGTCTTAGGGGTTCGGGGCAGCCTTTGTACTGGGACCTGTGAGAGGGATATAAGGTTGCTTACTACTTCCTTTTTGGGATTACCTTATAGGATTCTATATATGAACCACAAAAAGGAACTACTTTGGGGCCTTAGGGTACCCAATAAGCCACAGAAATTAAAGGTTAAACTTTCCGAATCCTATTAAACTATAAGAACCCAAAAAGTTTAAAGGATAGGTATTCGGGATTTAAGCTTGGGCTCCTCCCCAAGCAAGCAAAAAGGCTACCGCTGTACCTCGGAGCACATCAAACTGAGCTGAGGCCCTCTAGCTTAGATCCCGAAACATCAATCCTAAACCCCAAGCCGGACATCGTAAAACGTAGACCTACAGCCAGAACCCGAAAACCTAAGCGCTTACCACACAGGTTCATATTCGTCAATAGTATATAGATACAGTGTCCCAACACTCACTAGATACATGAACCCCGTGAGTCCAAAGCACAAAAGGTGCTGGTGCGTTAGTACGTGGACCCTGAAAAAACCCTACATTGCATTCTACCAAACCTGGTGAAACTATAAGCAATGTAAATGGAACCCTGTCAGGAACCACCCTCAGGGTTACCTTAAACCCTAAACGTCCCTAAACCCTAAACATCCCTAAAAAACCCTAGTGAAGCCCCAGCTCCTGCCTTCTCTCTGCAACAGGGTGCAGCAGGCTTCCACCCAACAGAGTCCCCAAAACCCTAAACTCTAGACCCTAAACCGCTTAAGGTTTGGGGCGGATTTTGGGGGTGTTATCATAGGGACCCTGAAGGGTGTCGGGAGCCTTAGTGCCCATAATAATAAGGACCTACTAAGGCCTATTTCAAGGATACAGTCCCCTACCCCCCTCCTCCTACCCCCTAAGGGTCACAATGACGCTAGTTTTGGGGATTCAATTCAGGGCTGTAGTTTCAGGGCTTGGGGAGATAGCTACAGGATGCCCGTATACGCCTCAACAGAACACTTGCAGCTCGGGAAGATCGGCATTCTTTACTTTTGATCCTTCCCAGATCAGGCTTCAACGTGCTTTTGACACCAACATCCTCCGCAAATGCGAATACCGGCAGCAATAGCTGTAATACAAGGCAGCCGCTATCAGTATCAACACCATCCGCATCATCATCACCATCATCATCATCATGGTCATATTCTTATTCATCTACATCATCTTCATCTTCACCGGCATCAAGATGAATACCAAGATGAAGACCAATCACAACGACAGCTGCAGCTCCACAACCCGAGGCACCAAGTCGCTCAACCAGCACCACTGCCACCACCACCACCACAGCCATGGCCACTGCCACCCAACCCGCCACCACCAATATCACCATTGTCTTTGCTCATCTTCATCGTCACTTCCAGCAACTCCAATCAGCATTGCCACCATCCTCATACTACTGAGTACTGTGGTCACCAACATGGGTAGTTCGTGAAGGTCGTTATTAGACTTACAGTCATGGCAAGAAGCTTCCACAGTTTGGAACCCCGCAAGGGGCGAACAGCCGTCTGACTAGTCCAAGAAGCGCTCGATGAAGAACTGTAACAGCTTGGCATGGCGCTTGATGTGTTCCACCTCAGATCTTCTTCGATA